GATTTTGATTAAGAGAGATATTTTTTAAAAGAAAGGTAGAATAACTCAAGCCCCAGAACGTGGTATAAGAAACCTAAATTAATGTTTATGGGAAAATAATAAAAGTATTAATAATAATAGCATAACTGGCAATTGAGTGCTTACCACTTGCCAGGAACTATGCAAAGCACTTTATATACATTTGCCATTTAGGCCTCACAGCAATCCTATGAAGTATGGACTATTACTAGCCCCCAAACCCCACCTCTTTCATATTTGAGCTCAAAGAGATTAAAATAACTTGTAGAAAGTCAAGAGACACATGCTGGTAAAAGTTAGAGCTGGGACTGCAATCTAGATGTGTTTGAATCTAAATCCCAGGTCTTTAAACATCTCATTATTCTATTATATTCCCTCGTGACACTGCAGGTTTCTCTACATATAAGGCAAGCATAAAGGATGTTTGTGGCTACGATTCCTGGCATTAGTGATTCCCTATTGTTGTCTGTAGTGTTTGAGGAATAATCTAATAAAAAAAAAAAAACTGCAGAGAAAGGGTTATAAACAATACAAGTATATGACACAAAAAAAGAAAGTACTGTACCTGGCCTCACATTTCAGCAAAGAGGCAGGAGAAAGAAAAGAGAATTCTACATCCCTCACACATCCAAAGGTGATGAAATACCAAAAGGACTAGCTAATGAGAAATTGAGAAATAACCATGTATATGCATAGTCACATCCTCCTGCTCTTGGAATCCATTTCTACCCTGAAGGCAACCCATCTACTCTTGCAATCATAGATTCCCAGATTGTCTGATGCTTTTCCCCCTGAAACATTTTTCTCAGGCAACAAACTCATATCTACATTTACCTGTTGGGATAGAACAGGATGGTTGTCTACCCTCTTCCTGGTATTTACATTTTAAGCTTTAACACTCCCGCCACCTCCAGCAGCAATCAAAACAATCTCCAACCCTCCTTGATCAGGTGAGGAAGGCATGTGAACTGCAGAACCAACAAGCTCTTTCCTGGGCCTGAAACATGTCTGACTACGGATTCCTGAAACAGTCTGACTATGGATTCCTCATGCCATGATGTTAGGGCCTGGTACACTATCTCCCATAGTCCTGAATAAAAAGCACCGTGTGGAAGTTCATGGAACTGGGCTCTTATTTTCCCACTTCTGCTGCTAACCTGCTATACTATCTTTGGCAAGTCATTTCGCCTCTCTGGGCTTCAGATTCCTTATTCTGGGAATATGGGCTGGGGCTATAAAAAAAAAATTGGTTTCATAACTTATTTCTAGCTGCAGAATCCTTTCATCAAATGATATCTTTCAAGGGAACCTCCAATGTATAACAGAAAAAAAGTGAAACTACCGTGAAGGAGGCTGGAGGGGACCCCTTTCCGTGCTCTATGATAATATGTCATGTTAAGGTGCTTTTTGGCTGAAACGTTCCATGATTACAAGTAAGCTCCCTGCAGCCTGAGAAGGAGGTGGGGTCCCAGCGGGCAGCTGCACCAGAGGATTCTCCCGCCCCCAGATGGCTGCCCTCTTTTATCAGTGAGCCTCTTCCTAAAGCAAATAAGCAAAGAAAGAAATCCCACAGAAACCAGGTCCGACGTGAGGACTCAGGCAGCCGAGGGAATACTCAACCCCATCCAGGCAAACTAAAACACACTCCAAGGAAGAGATAAGGTTTATGAAAAGGAAACTAACACAATCACTTAAAAGAATTTCAACACGAAACCACTTGAGCCAGGGCATTGGGAGGCTACAAAACACCCAAGGTCAGCCCTGAAAGAATAGACTTCACAGGGACCCATGCCTTCATTTTCCTCTTTTGTTTCTCATTGCCCCGGGGTCAACCTCTTTCAGGTCAGTATGTGCGGGAAGTGGCAGCGGCACTGTACACAGCACACGTTTCTCCTGGCCCCGAGTCCTGCAGGAGGACCTCAGCACGTTGGGAACAGGGGTTATAGGAGGAGTGACTATAAATTAATAGATTAATTTCAAACATATAAGATACAAGTACCCAACTCAAGAGCATCACCAGATGAAAAACAGGACACCCTGGTTTGAATTCCAGATAAATAACTTCAGATATGTTTGAGTTTCAGATAAACAACAAATAATTTTTTAGTATAAATATGTCCCAAACACTGCATATTTGTAAAAAAGCATTTATTGTTTATCTGAAATTCAAATTTAATTAGGCATCCCATATTTTAATTTACTAAATTTGGCAATTATCCCTCAAGATGAAAACATATTCTGGCCATACTTACAATATCTAAGCCATTTTTTTAAAACTTCTTCTTGGGAATAGACTTTACAAGATTAGGAACATTCTTTCCACCAGCCTCTATAGAGTTAAAGCTTCAGTCTCAGAAACTGGATTAAATTTCTAAAAACTGCCAAATGTTATTCATGAACTCTGATGAGTGAGAATGATCAAGCAGGGTGACTCCACTTGGGGCCAAAACATGGTGAATGTTTCTATGTTAATGAACTGGTTTTCTTGGGATACTCTTTATCCTTACTAACTCTCTATTGCTTATAGAGTGAATTCTCAATTTTCCAATATTACATATATTTATAAAAATATGTATCTGTGTATAGATATGGATATAGATCATCATCTCCTACTACAGTTCCTGGTGGTATAGCAGAACAAGAGAACTAAAAGGGAGGGATCTAATATTAATTGAACCTAACCATATGCTAAATACTGTGCAAGACATTTTCCTGCCCTACTTAATCCCCAGTACAAGACCAGCAAAGTAGATACAATTATATCTGTTTAAGAGATGAGGAAACTAAATCCTGAAAAGCTCAGGGATCCACTTAGAGTTAAAAGGTAGCCAATGACATGGGCAGGATCCATGCTATATGACTGTGTGCTGGGGCACACCACTCACACCACAGAGATTAGTCCCTTTACCTTTCCATTCCCAGCTCTTCCCAAAGTCAGGGTGAGTAACCACATTTGTGACAAGGATTGGACTGTTTTCACTTAGTAGTAGATAAATCAGGGACTGTGGTGAGGCACAGTCCAAGGGAAGCACAAAGGGAGAGATGAGTCAGGACGATCATAGCAAGGAGGTGGAGAAGGCTACCTTGTGCCAACCCTCTCAATTTCTTTTCTTCTTCCAAAACCCTGTTTCACATATGATCTAATAAGTCATTATTTTTAAGTTAATCTTTAAGAATATCAAATAGAAATTAATCATTCTCCTCTGAAAGAAATCAGAACATTACCGGATGTGGTGGCTTACACCTGTAATCCCAGCGATTCAGAAGGATCACTTGAGGCCAGGAGTTCAACACCAGCCTGGGCAACATAGCAAGACCCTGTCTCTAAAAAAGTCTTTTGTAGTTAGCCGGATATGATAGTGTGTGCTTGTAGTCCTGTACTAGGGAGGCTTGAGCCCAGGAGTTTAAATCTGCAGTGAGCTATGTGATCAAGCCACTATACTCCAGCCTGGGTGACAGAGCAAAATGCCATCTCTAAAAAAAAAAATCAGAACATTATAGATAGATAAGTCCTCTTTGCCCATCTTTCTCTAATCCTAGTCCCCTCCCTGCTTCCTCTAAAGGAACTGATGTTGAATTAGAGGTTTGCCTTTTTAGACACTTAACAATACATTTACATATAGAAATATGTAGCCATATAAAATATATAATGTTTTTATATTTAATTAATGAATAAGTGACTTTTACTGTACACACTCAAACAAAAAAATTAAATCCTGACTTATCCACCTCGTATTCCATGTAGGCATTCTCTAGCTCCAAAATGGGTCTTCCTAGGTTTCAGGATCCACCAAAGAGAATAGATTTCCAAAAAAATTATTAATGTTTTACACAAGCTATACAAGAAGAAAGCACCTTTTCGCAAATTTATTTTGGTGTTGAGAATGTGTACTTTCTCCATGGCAGTTTGGGAATCATAGCTTCAGAGATTTCATGATAAATAGATAAAACTTTATTTATTATTTATCATGTATTATATTTATTATATGTTATTTACATTTTATATATATTATTACATATTATTTCTTATAATTTATCACTTTTTTTAGGAAGTTCAAATCAAACATTTGCAGAATACTTAAAGTGCCTCCGTGGATAGAATGTTGTGGAACATAGTTTGGAAATACTTGCCTGGCTATACTCAGGCCTTTCCTAGCAGTGTATTTCTATGATTCTAGTTACTCATTAGCCAAGTGTCTCCATATTTAATCCAGACTGTGAAGAAGTGGTTCATAGAAGTGGCTCATAGATGGTTCTCTGGATGCCTGTTCAATCTCAGAAATCACAGGCCAATAACCTTAGGCTGACTAGAGCCACTTCTGACCTCAAAGAGTTCCTCCCCACAATGCAAACAACCTCATGTTGTTGTTTTCTCTTCCTGCACCAAAAAAAGCATACAAAGACATATCTTCAAGTGTCAATTTCCTCATTGAGACCATGCCCCTGTTACAATGGAAGTGTTTTGCCGAAAGCTATTCATAGTAATTTCTGTTGGTAGCGATATACCCTCTATTTCTGGTAAGAGTGAGGAAATCCACCAGCCTCTTCCTGGCAACCCTTTGCTACTCACAATGAGAAAGTGACCTACAGAAACAGGGATGCTCATCCATAAAATAACAGAGGGGGGTGAGAGGCACAAGAAATAGAAAGAAATTGTGTTGATTTTACTTTGTTTTTCTGCAACCCCATCCCCACTTTTTTGTGCATAAGCAGCAAAGTAGGAGGAACCCCCACAAGATCTCCCTTCCTTCACAATAATCTAAATCTTCCTTCCTCAGAAGAGGGAGAATTTTAGAGTCAAAGAGACTTACGAGACACAACAACCAAATAAAATGAGTGGACCATTTCTGGCTCTGATTAGAAAAACAGCAAAAAAGAAATGATCAGAGAAATTTGAATATGAACCTGGTATTAATAATATTCAAGAATTATTTTTAATTGTTAGGTCTGATGTGGCATTGTAAAATTGTCCTTTTTTTCAGATGCATGCTGAAGTATTTGAGAGTGAAGTGCTATGCTGTCTACCTACAAGGGTAGGTTTGAATTTTTTCTTAACAGTCTTTCTTTTATAGGTAGAAAATGAGAATGGTAAAATGTTGATGGTTATTGGTGCTGAATGATGAGCTTAGCTGAACTCCTTACTTCTGTGTATGTTTGGAAATTTTCAAAATGAAAAGTTTATTTTGAAATTTTTGAAATGCTGCCCATTCCTAAACCTAACCACAAACCCACGTCTATTTTTCCCACTCACCCATTATATAGATTTATCACCTTAGTCACTGGCAGCACAGTGGATAAGTTGCAGGCTCTAGAGCCATCCTGTCTGGATCCAAATTATTGCCCACTTAGGAGTTCTGTGACCTTATGAGAATTAACCTCTCAGGGCCTAAATTTCCTCATCTGTACAATGTAAGTGCAGACGAATAACATGGGTTTGAACTGCACAAGTCCACTTATACACAGATTTTCTTCCACTTCTGCCTTCCTTTTTTTTTTTTCACAGCAAGTCCTCCTTTTCCTGCTTTTCAGCCTACTTAACATGCGGACAATGGGGATGGAGACCTTTATGATGCTCTGCTTCCACTTTCACTTAATGAATAGTAAACGTATATCCTCTTCCTTACGATTTTCTTAACATTTTCTTTTTGCTAGTTTACTTTATTGTAAGAACACAGTATATAATACATACAGCATACAAAGTATGTGTTAATCAACTGTTTTTGTTATCAGTAAGGATTCCAGTCAACAGTAGACGATTAATAGTAAATTTTGGGGCAGTCAAAAGCTAGACATGGATTTTCAATGAGGATTGGTGCCTCTAATTCCCATGTTGTTCATGGGTCAACTATAACACGATTTATCTTATTGGACTGTTATTAAGATTAATAAGTTAATAAAATGTATGTAAATAATGTCTGGTATATATTAAGTAATTCAATAAATGTTAGTCATTAACATTGTTAGTTAAGTAATTTCTAAAAGCATGAAGGTACTCCCCAACATCATCTACGCCAATTCCTTTACTTAATAGAAGAAAAATTTAAGGTAAAAAATGTTTTGTTTTAAATGACAAAAAGCTAGATAAGTCAGAGCAGGTTAGAATTCAGCTTTCCTTCCTAGAACCCAAGCTAGAGGCCTTTTCCCTATACTTTATTTACTTCAAGACATATTCAATATCTAATTGAGTCAGTGTCTACCATGCTTTCTGCTCAGTATTAAGCATTAATAAAAGACTACCTGTCCGATGTTGCCGCAAATTGCCCACCCTGGCTATGGGTTCCCTCTGGCCCAAATTGAGTTTGCTGCTGGGAGAGACCGTTCTGAACCCCAAGTCATAATTTACTGGGCACAGGACTGAAGAGTTAACTCAGGCGGTGCCCTCCCCAACCCTCCCACAGTGCCAGGATGGCGGGGCGCAGGCGTTCCTCCCCCTCACTGCGCACCGCCCAGCCGCAGGACTCATGCACCAGTCCTCCCTCCTGCCCTGTCCACACTGGGGCCCCTCCCAGTGCCTCGCCCCGGCCTGCTGTGGGGTTCTGACAGGGGTGGGAGGACCCCATTTATCGAAAATCTTACAAACACAGATATTTTGCATACCATAAACAATGAGTTTATCTCAAGCAGAGAACTTGAGACTCAACATTTTAACCCCATATTGGCAGGTCAACCATTTGAATTCTGAATTTTAAAATAACCAACAGCTCAGAGTAAACCAAGAACCATCAATCACCACTTTTCCTCACACCTTACACAAGCAGTACCAACCACCACTTTTCCACACACGCCAGACAAACTATATAGGGAATTCCCAACACAAACAATCTAAAATGCTATGGCCTATCAATCAAATGGGAGGTGGAGCTTCCTAAGGTTGCGATAAAACTCACAAATAACAACCAGACAATACAGGGGGTCCCCAACACAAAAATGGCATGTCCTATCAAAAACATGGGAATCCAAAGGGGATAAATGCCACCCCAAGTGGCACCTCAGATGCTGCCTCAGAAAGTTCAAAATCTTCTCCAAATGGATGGCCTAATGCCACTGTTACCTGGGAAACCCTTCCCAAATGGTGGCCTAGGCCCCCCATTCCCTGGGAACAGCAAATGAGCTCCAAATTCAAACCAGGTTGCCTAGTTCCACTCAATCTCATGACTTCCACCCCCAAAAGGAATCTCAAAGCAAATATGCTGATAGGGCCCCAAAAAATGCCTTGCCACAGGGCTAGAGGGTTCAAAACCCTCCCCAAATGGGTTAGAACTTACCCAACAAATGGCCTGCATCCAGATACTTCCTAAATCCATTTCCTTCTCCTCAACTCAGTTCAGGTTGCAGGGAGCTGCATCTACTTCAGGGAGACAGAGACAGGAGTTCCCTAGAGCTAAAACAGGCTCCAGCAGCTGCTGGGCCACCTCCTTTCCAGGTGGGGCCTCTCTCACCTCGAAAAGAAGTTGCTCCTACCCATGAAGACCCCTGGCTTTGACCTGGGGCTGCTCCCTGCCCCTTCTAGCAGTCATGGGGTGCCATTCCACTGGAACACCAGTAGACCCACCCAAGAATGCCAAATTCTGTTACCAAAAGTTTGTCACACGTCCTCGAGGCCACATTAGAAGAATGAGGACAAGTGGTCTGAGGAGAAGGAAATAAAAATTTATTCATCTGGCAGAAAATGAGGAGGTTGGCAAACTCCTATCTCAAAGTACCAACATCCTCCAATTGATTCTTTCATGAAAGATGTCTCTGTAGAATGCAATACTGTTTGGTAGCATTTTTTACCCACTTTACTTCTTTCAAAATTGGCATCAATCTTCTCAAACCCTGCTGCTGCTTTATTAACTAAGTTTATGTAATGTTCTCTTTTTTTGTTTTGTTTTGTTTTGTTTTGAGATATAGTCTCTCTCTGTCACAGACTAGAGTGCCATGGCATGATCATAGCTCTGTAACCTCAAATTTCTGGGCTCAAGTGATTCTACTGCTTCAACCTCTGAAGCAGCTGAGACTATAGGCATGTACCACCATGCCTGGCTAATTTTTTAAATTTTTTGTAGAGATTGGGTCTTACTAGGTTGCCCAGATTGATCTTGAACTCCTAGCCTCAAGTGATCTTCCTGCCTTTGCCTCCCAAAGTGCTAGGATGACAAGTGTGAGCCATTGTGCCTAGTCTGTGTGATATTCTAAGTTCTATGTTGTCATTTCAACAATGTTCACAGTATCTTCAACAGGAGATTTCATCTCAATAAACTACTTTCTTTGCTCATCCATAATAGGCAACTTCTCATTCACTCAAGTTTTATTGAGATTGCAACAATTCCGTCATATCTTCAAGCTCCACTTCTAATTATAGTTCTCTTGCTATTTACACCACATCTGCAGTTACTTCCTCCACTAAAGTCTTGAATCCCTCAAAGTCATTCACTCACAAGGGTTGGAATCAATTTCTTCCAAGTTCCTGTTAATGTTGATATTTTTACCTCCTCCCAGGAGACACAAATGTTCTTAATGGTATCTAGAATGGTGAATCCTTTCCAGAAGGTTTTCAATTTACCTTGCCCAGATCCATCAGACAGATCATTATCTATGGCAGCTACAACCTTGAAAAATGCATTTCTTAAATCTTAACATATGAAAGTCAAAATTACCCCTTGGATCCATGGCTACACAAAGGATGTTGTGTTAGTAAGCATAAAAACAATATTAATCACCTTGTACACCTCCATCAGAGCTCTTGAGTAACCAGGTACATTGTCAATGAGCAGTAATATTTTGAACTAAATCTTTTTTTCTGGGCAGTAGGTTTCAACAATGGGCTTAAAATATTCAGTAATCATACTGTAAACAGATGTGATATCATCCAGGCTTTATAGAGCACAGGCGAAGTAAATTAAGCATGATTCTTAAAAGCCCTAGGATTTTCAGAGTGATAAATGAGCACTGGCTCCAGCTTAAAGTAACTAGCAGAATTATCCTCTAACAAGAGGGACAGCCTGTCCTTTGAAGCTTTGAATCTAGGCACTGACTTCTCCTCTCTAGCTATGAAAGTCCTTCTTTCCTTAAATCTCATGAACCAATCTCTGGTGGTTTCAAACATTAATTCTGTAGTTTTCTCACCTCTCTCAGCCTTCATAGAATTGAAGAGAGTTGGGGCCTTGCTCTGGATTAGGCTTTGGTTTAAGAGAATGTTGTGACTGATTTGATCTGTTGACTAGACCACTCAGTTTCACTTTCTTATCATTCATGGGTTCATTATAGCAGCACTCTTAATTTTCTTCAAGAACTTTTCCTTTGCATTCACAACTTGGCTAAGTGTTTGGCACAAGAGGCCTAGCTTTTGGCCTATCTCAGCTTTCAACATGCCTTCCTCACCATGCTTGATCATTTCTAGCTTTCGATTTAAAGTAAGAGATCTGTGACTCTTCCTTTAATTGGATATTTAGAGGCCATTGAAGGGTTATTAATTGGCCTAAATTTCAATATTACTGTGTCTCAGAGAATAGGAAGGTCCAAGGAGAGGGAGAGAAACAGGGAATGTCTGATCAGTGGAGAGTCAGGACACACATTTATTAAGTTCACCATCTTCTATGGGCAGCATCTGTGGTACCCAAAAACAATTACAATAGTACCATTAAGATCACTGATCACAGATCACCATAACAGATATAATAATGAAAGAGTTTTAATATCACAAGCATTATGAAAATGTGACACAGAAACACAAAGTGAGCACATGATATTAGGAAAAAATGGCATCAATAGACTTGCATTGTCATAAACTTCCAATTTGTAAAAAACATAATATCTGTGACATGCAGTGAAACAAGATATGCCTGTATACATGTTCTAAAATTCATCAAAACTGTACACTTAAGATCTGATCTATGCATTTCACTGTATGTAAATCTATGGCAAAGCTAAAGGTAGAAGTAGGCCTTTTGATTCCTGGTACAATGTGACTTCAAATTCAAGAGTAAACTGAGACAGCACAAAGAACTAATATAACTAGGAAAAGAGAGAGGGCAATGGAATTGCTAGCCTT